CCCCCCAATTCTCCTCCCTGAGCCACCTTTGGCCTTTAAACCCGCATGATCTGTGCCTCCGTTTCCCGCTGGCTTGTACCCAAAGGAGATCCTCACCAACTCCCAGATGGACAAGATAATTAACCCTGAATGATCAAAGGGAAGTTCACACTGCGTGTGAGAAGCCCAGGAATGCACACACTCACACACACACACACTCACACATGCACATGCACACACACGCTGCTGGGGAGAAAGTGGTTCCATTAACACCTCCATCCACTTCGAGACTGTGTTAAACTGTGTGAGTAATTTGGTTAAAACTTGTCTCCTCACGCCGAAGGGGGTGACCCTGGGCGAGGAGTTTCTGGGGTGGCTTTTCTCGGTTTAGTTTTGTGCCTGGTGCAGCGTTTTCTCACTCCTCCCCAAACATCTCTTATACTTAAACACAAAACAACAACGACGACGGCACATCAACCCCCTGAGCAGCTGGTTCTTACCGAAGCTCATTTTTCCAAAGCTAGGAACTGTTTCTTTGTATTTTGTCTTCCGGGCGATGCTTGGCTTTTCCCCTTCAAGACCAATGCAAACTTGGTGCTCGGAGAGACACAAGCACCGGGCAAAAGCACTAAGCAATCACCATGCAAAAGCACCAAGCAAGCACCATGCAAGCACTGTGGAAAGCACTAAGCAAGCACCGTGCAAAAGAACTAAGCAATCACCATGCAAAAGCACCAAGCAAACACCATGCAAGCACCATGCAAAAGAACTAAGCAATCACCATGCAAAAGCACCAAGCAAACACCATGCAAGCACCATGCAAAAGCACCAAGCAAACACCATGCAAGCACTGTGGAAAGCACTAAGCAAGCACCATGCAAGCACCATGCAAAAGAACTAAGCAATCACCACCATGCAAAAGCACCAAGCAAGCACCATGCAAGCAAGCACCGTGGAAAGCACTAAGCAAGCACCGTGCAAAAGAACTAAGCAATCACCATGCAAAAGCACCAAGCAAACACCATGCAAGCACCATGCAAAAGAACTGCAATCACCATGCAAAAGCACCAAGCAAGCACTATGCAAGCACCGTGGAAAGAACTAAGCAATCACCATGCAAAAGCACCAAGCAAACACCATGCAAGCACCATGCAAAAGAACTAAGCAATCACCATGCAAAAGCACCAAGCAAGCACTATGCAAGCACCGTGGAAAGCACTAAGCAAGCACCATGCAAGCACCATGCAAAATAACTAAGCAATCACCATGCAAAAGCACCAAGCAAGCATTGTGCAACCCCAGGCAGGAAGGTCTGTGAGACTCTTCATCTCCAATAAACCAGCAAAAAGCTGGAAGTTGAGCTGTGGCTCAAGGGGTAGAGCACCAGCCTTGAGCAAAAAAAAAAAAAAAACCCACACAACTCAAAGACAAGCACCCAGGCTATGAGTTCAAGCCCAGAACAAGCACCAAAGGAGACAGCAAAGATTCCAGAATGGTATTGGCAAGAGTGGCAAGAATCCAATTCTCTTCTTCTTTCCTTATGATTATTATTATTCTTTCACTAATTATTTGTTGTTGTTGTTGTTTTAGCTCATGCGCAGGTGAAGCCAGTTGAAGAGCAAAGCCTGAGTTCTGAGTCACACACACACACACACACACACACACACACACTGAGGACAGAGGCTCTGACAGCCAGGCTGGGTTTGTTGGTGGAGACAGAATCCTGACCGGCCTCCAGTCAGAATCCTCCCAATGTCAGCCTCCCAAGCGGCCGGGATTACAGGCCATAATTCCTTGACACCATAATTCCATTACACCATAATTCCTCCCAGTGGACAAATCAATAAACCTCAGAACTCACTCATCAACGAGTCTCACCGTTTAGATGGATGGAGGAAAACGGGGAAGAAAAGGAGATGAGGGAGACTCCCAAGTCCTCCTTAATTATCCTGAAATCCTTATGCTCTGTGTGTGTGTGTGTGTGTGTGTGTGTGTGTGTGTGTGTGTGTATACACACCCGTCCTGGGATTGAACCCAGGCTCTGTTGAGTCTCCCTTGGCTTTTTCACTCCAGGGTGATTTGAGGGCCTCTAACCATGAGCCTCTGAATCGCAGCCTCCTGAAGAATTATTACCGGCCTGAGCCTAAAAAAATGTTGAGTTTGGGGGAGGGGGGGAATCAAAGGAATTTTGAATGATGTTTGTGTGGTTGGAAGCAAAAGAAGAAAAATCTCAAGTGAACCCTTCCCTCGCCTTTCTTTTTAATTTTTAGGGTATATACCGACTTTATTTTTTGCCATTTAACAAAGCAATTTATGTGCGCGATGTCTCTCACTTATTCCGTTAGGCTTGGGTTTCATTTTCTAAAGAATTATACTAATTAAGCTGGGCACCCGTGGCTCAAGCCTGACATCCCAGCTGCTCGGGAGGCTGAGATCTGAGGATCGCGGTTCAAGGCCAGCCCAGGCAGGAAAGTCTGTGAGACTCTGATCTCCAATGAACCACCAAAAAGGAAAAAAATAATTAAAAAGTCAGAAGTGGAGCTGTGGCTCAAGCGGTAGAGCACCAGCCTTGAGCACAAAAGATCAGGTACTGAGTTCAAGTCCCAGTCTCACACCTAAAAACAAAGAAAAAAAAACAAAGAAAAGATCACGTATTTCCATACTATAATTTATACCAACAACCTGGGGGCCATCTCTGAGTTTCTATACTCAGAGTGAACGCTCTACCACTTGAACCAGACCTCCGCTTTTGGAATATTTTTCGCTGGTTCATTGCAGAGAAGGCTTTGAGCCTCGATCCTCAGATCTCAGCCTCCTGAGCAGCTGGGATGACAGGCGTGAGCCATTGGTGCCCGGCTCACAGAGTGTGTGTATGTGTGTGTGTGTGTATGCGTGTTGTTGTTGTTTAATCTCTACGTTGTACATAGCGCTGTGGGTTTTCCTAGGGAATAAATCCTTTTGTCTTCTTTGAGATGCTAACCGCCATTGATTAATCCTTGCTAAGATCCATTCCCTCATTAGGTGCTGAAGAGATAAATTATTTATTCAATTATGAGCCCTCTGGTCCGCGCTGGCTCCTGCAGAACTAAATGCAGGCAGCTGGGAGGAAGGCGGAGAGGAGCGGTTTGGTTTTAAAGTTTTCAAAAACCAAGAAGATCCCTGAGGCCAGGCCGGTGGCTCACGCCGGTCATCTCAGCTACTGAGGGAGCCCAGATCTGAGGGTGTGGATTCAAAGCCAGCCCAGGCAGAAAAAAAAATGTCTGTGGGACTCTGATTTCCAGTGCACCACCAAAAAAAACCTGGAAGGCGGTTGTGTGGTTCAAGCAGCACAGCGCCAACCTTAAGAGGAAAAAAAAACTACAGAGATTACTGCTTAGGACTGACACCTAGACAGACAGATGGATGGATGCTGGGTGGATGGGTGAGTGGATGGATGGGTGGATGGATGGGTGGATGGATGGGTGGATGGATAGATGATGGGTGGATGGATGGATGGATGGATGGATGGGTGGATGGATGGATGGATGGATGGGTGGATGGATGGGTGGATGGATGAATGGGTAGATGGATGGATGGATGGATGAGTGGGTGGATGTGTGGATGAATGGGTGGGTGGGTGGATGAATAGATGGTGGATGAATAGATGGTGGATGGATGAGTGGGTAGATGGATGGGTGGATGGATGGATGGGTGGATGGGTGGATGGATGGATGGATGAGTGGGTGGGTAGGTTGTGGATGGATGGATGGGCAGGTGGGTAGGTCGTGAATGGATGGATGGATGGGTGGATGGATAGATGGATGGGTGGATGGATGGATGGGTGGGTGGATGGATGGATGGATGGGTGG